GTTGTTTTAGTTGCATATATAAATAAAATATTATGTTGACATATATGGTTGCTACATTTAATACTATATAAAAAATCATTATCAAAACATGTACACATTTTACTATGAGGATTTTATATATATCTATATGTTATAAAACTAAATCTTCCAAAATAGTATACATATGCAAAAATTATAATGCCTTATGGGTAATATATATGGCAATATCACTTTTGATATAGGGCAATATATGTCATATTACATTTACATATGGGTAATAACCTTTTTCCAGCGGTCGCTAAAGCCCCGTTCACACCAAGAACGATAACTATAAAGATAACGATATTAGCGTCCACACCAGTGGACGATATCATCTGTCTATTCTAAGCGCACGCGCGTCTGTTGCTTTAAATTCTCGAGCTCGTGATAGCAGGATTGATTCTGATTGGCTGTCAATGTTTTTATCATTCATCAGCTGGAAAAAAATCGTTCTGGAAGTGATTCCAACGATATCGTTTATCTGTGCCTTTATCGTTATAGCTGTGGTGTGGACTCTGCTATTCTTTAATATTGAGAAAGATTTTTAGAACTATATCTTTATTGTTATCATTATAGCCTAGTTATCGTCCTTGGTGTGAACGAGCCTTAACACCAATAAACAATAATCTAAATAATAATAAAAATAGAAAAACTTAATTATGTATTATATCAATCATTTATTTAATTAATTTAGATACAAATGAAATAATTAATTTTAAATTTACAATTCAAAATTGCAAATTAATTTTAATGAATATATTTAAATAATTAAATAAAGTTACACTTTATTTTAAGGTGTCCATGTTACAGTGTAATTATACATTTTTCTTTTTTTACTTTTATTTTTAATTAGTTTAATTTACAAGATTCACAATAAATATAGAACAATTTTAACAGAAAGGGATAATAGAAATCATACATTTAACATATACGTACATATCAAACATATGCTACAGCGTGTACAGTTGTATACTTACACATCCATATTAACACATATACAAAAATATAAATAAATACACTTGTATATACATATGCATATACAGTGGGTACGGAAAGTATTCAGACCCCCTTAAATTGTTCACTCTTTGTTATATTGCAGCCATTTGCTAAAATCATTTAAGTAAAACATTTTTCCTCATTAATGTACACACAGCACCCCATATTGACAGAAAAACACAGAATTGTTGACATTTTTGCAGATTTATTAAAAAAGAAAAACTGAAATATCACATGGTCCTAAGTATTCAGACCCTTTGCTTACGATTATAGGCATCGATCATCATTTTAGTAAGGGAGTGGATGTCATTTATTCTAATTTTCCTTTTTTTGTTATAGTAATCCCTTAACTGAAAATATCTAAATAAATCCTGATTTCTAAGTCCGAAATTATCTTTTAAGTCTTGGAAGCTTCTAATTTCACCTTTTGCAATTACACAGCACAAAGCTGTTATTCCCCTTGCCTTCCACTGTTGAAATATTGGATCTTCCCAGCCTGACTTAAATTGTTCATCATGAGTAATCCACCTAAGTATTCCAATTTCTTTCTCCAATTTGAAATGTTTAACAATAGAATGCCAAACTTTCAATGAAAATGTTACTATTGGGTCCAGTTTGTCTTTATTATATCCTTGAATTTCACACTCCCCTATAAATGACTGAACTTGAAGATCTTGTCTATTTGTTTCTATGTCTTTCCATTTAACTATATAACTAGAAGAGCACCAGTAAAAGATGGAACGTAACTGTGCTGCACAAAAATAGTTTTTAAGATTTGGCAGAGCCATACCACCTTTTTCTTTAGGTAGCTGGAGTGTTGAATAGCGCACTCTGGGTCTTTTACCTCCCCATATATACCTAGATATTAATTTATCCCATTCAAAGAATTGCTTTGGTGGGATTTCCACTGGGAGTGATTGAAACAGATACAACAGGCGAGGTAAGCTATTCATTTTTATTCCCCTTATCCTATCACTGAAGCTCATAGGGTATGTGGACCACCTCTCAATGTCACTCTTTATATTATTAGTAATTGGATCATAATTGGTCCTATACAATTTAGTTAAATCTTTAGTTATATTTACACCTAGATATTTTAGACATTTTGCATCCCAATTAATGTCATAGTTTTGTTTAAGTTCCATGTTTGGTTTACAATTAAACATA